GGCCAAGGGCAGCCCCATGCAGAATCAAAGGGTGCTTTCTACCCTTGGCCCATCTTTATTTCATGGAGGAATGTAGGAACTGTTCCAATAGTCACCCACATCCTCCTTGTCTACCAGTCTGTATGTGTATTCACTGTCTGCTTCCCCTATGAACAAGCTCCCAGTCATATCGTTATGTTGAACGTACTCAAAGGGAAGGCTTTTTTGTTGCTGTTCTTGCTGTATACTGAACGGGCCTGTCGTGAGGGTGGGGGTAGTTCTGAGCCTGGCACTGCAGCTTTCTTAAGCTGGAAGACTCTTCATTTCTGGGTATCCTGCTCCTTAGCCATCCATTGGCCACACTGTGAACGAAAGGAGAGTACCGATGGCCCTGGGGTTTACAGCCGGGCATCCATGCCCCATGTGTGCTTTCTCTGTTTCTTGATTGTCTGTGTGCATAGGATGCCAAAGAAATCCTAACTCTTTTTATTATGATGCCTGTCTTGGAAGGATTATACGGCTGGGGTGGTCCCTTCTTTTTTACTTCAGTTCCGCTGCTGTCCCATCTCTGGTCTTGACTCTCATCCCTTAATAACATCAACTCTTCCTTCCCTTTCTCCTCCCTCCTCTCTTTCCCTTTTCACTTACCCATCCACCTGGCTATCTACCTACTTACCTGGGGGCAGTGGTGGGCCATGTGAGAGACCTGGGGTTTCTGGCCAGGGCATCTAGGTACAGCCACCAGTTGTCTGTCTGTCAGTGGAAGCTTGCTGTTGCTATGATGCTGACCTGGTTTCAGTGGTGCTTCCGGACGAAGATGGATTAGGAAGACAAGCTTGTTCATCTCCTGAAAATCAGTCAATGAGAACTCTATGGATCACAGTAGTTCATTGTACATGAATCTCTGTGAGCTGGGGGACTCCAGAACCACTAACAATAGCCTACCTGCGTGCTGACAATAAATGTGTTCTCAAGTCTGGCACTGGTAGGGTGAGCACTGGATCGCAAAGTCAGTTTGAGCTGCAAGGTCAGCAGTTCAAACTCACCAGCCGCTCCTTGGAAACCGTAGCCAGGGTCGCTATGAGTCAGAACTTGACTTGATGGCACTTCACAACAACAACACCGACAACCAAGGACCCTGGCGATGCAGCGGTTAAACAGTTAGTTGCTAACTAAAAAGTCAATGGTCTGAACTTCCCAGTTGCTCCAGGGGAGAAAAATGAGGCAATCTGCTTCTGTAAAGATTTGCAGCCTCGGAAATCCTATGAGCAGGTCTATTCAGTCCAATGAGTTGCAAGGAGTTGAAATCGACTTGTTGACAGTGAGTTTGGGTTGGTTTCCAGGTTCCAAGGAACCTTGGTTGTGCAATAATTAAAGGCTCAGCTGCTAACCAAAAGGTCGGTGGTTTGAACCCATCAGCTGTTGTGCAGAGAAAAGACCTGGCATTCTGTTCCCATCAAGATTACAGCACAGAGAACCCCCGGGGCAGTTCTGTTCTGTTCTGTAGGATCGTTGTGAGTTGAAATTGACTCAACATCACATAAGCACCTCCACCATATGCCAGGAACTGTGCTAAGCACCGGCGATGAAATAGCGAGTGAGCAAGATCCTCCCCAGTGCAGAGACAAGTAATGACATGATGCTTATTTAATTACAACTGGGAAAGCATTGCAGTGGGGAGGGACAGTTGACTTAGCCTGTTTCCTGGGAGGTCAGCCACTAGCAAAAACAATAAGGACAGCTTCATAATTCTTGTTGAGTCATCGGTAGACTGATGATACTTTAGAAATCTTTCCATCCAAAGCGCTTGGTGGACTTGGACATTGGCTACCCAAAATGGGGGGAGGGATACAAAGGTAAGAAGTGACTGGCTTACAAGCTTTCAAGAGGGAGCTTAGATCCAGAGGGCGTGGAGGAAGGGAATAGCATCCAGCCTGTCCAGGAAGGGCTGATGAAATGAAATGCAGATGGGTCTCTTGTGATGCGACAGTGAACAATTCTTATCAGGACTGATTGTGAGGGTTGGGAATGTAAAGGTGGACATTTTACAGCAAGGAGGGGAGTGATTAACTTTTCAGTCTAGGAACAGAGGGCCCTGGGACCATCAATGGAGAAGAGCAGAGAGTGGGACCCTACCCAGAGAAGCAGTGAGGCCTGAGTTGGAGTCAGAGAAGATGACGTGAATAGATGGAGGGGCTGGGGACTTGAGATCCAGAGAGGGAAAGGGGCTGTGTGCTGAGGAAGGGCCATGGGGGGTGGGGGGGCAGGCTTTCAGGGTATACCCTTTGGTTGGGTGATGATGCATGGACAGGATGGTAACTATGGCAATGAAATGATGTATGATAGAATGAATATAAAACTGATGTTCTCCCATGTTAAAAAAAAGAAAGAAAACCCACATAAAACAAAGTGCTTGGTGGAGACCCCTATATAGACCAGAAGTTGTAAGTGTCACAAATACATTGCTGCTGAGACTGGCTATGGTTAACCCTGTGATAGACACGCGACAACCGTGGGCTGCTGATGGCACCTTCCAAAAACATCTCTCTTTTCTGAAAAAAAATTGGGATTTGGTGAAAGTTTACAAAGCACATCAATTTCCACTCCAGAATTCACACATTTTGTTATGTGAAACTGATTGCTGTCCCCACAAGGTAACAGCACTCGTCCCGCTTGCTTTGTTGATGTTGTTAAGTGCCAGCGAGTCAATTCCAACTCATAGCAACTCTAGGGTTTCCAAGGAGTGGCTGGTGAGTTTGAACTGCTGACCTTATGATTCAAACTGACCTTGTGGTCCAGTGCTTTATCCCACAGTGCCACACCAGGACCCCTTTTGGTTTTACGTGGTTGAGTGCATACCTCCCTGGTGTTATTGTTTATCAGCTAAGCCTGCCTGTTGTTTCAAAGTTGAGCCATGGAGGTAAGTTTAATTTCATGCTTGCAAAGGACCCTAATCTTGGGGCTTCATCCAGTTTCCATCAGACCAGTCAGCTTAGTCATTTTTATGACTTTGAGTTGTGTTCCTCATTTTTCTCCCACTCTACCCAGAACCTCCTGTTTGTGATCCCTTTCAGAACTGTCAGCCAGTGGTTGCTGGGCACTATGGAGTTATTCTGGTCTCAGGCTTCACGTGATCCAGTAGTCCTGTGGATGAATTGTTTGTGTCTTTGATTTTCTTCACTTTTCTTGGGACTGGACATAGGGACCTTGCTTTTCTCCAAAGAATTTGTTGTTAGCTGCCATCAAGTTGATCCCAACTTGCAGTGAGGATTTTCTTGACTGTAATCTTGATGGAGGAGCCCTGTTCTTGTGTGGCGCTGTGGGTTAATGCGCCAGATTGCAAAGCCGTTTGGACTGTAAGGTCGGCAGTTCAAGCTCACCAGCTGCTCCTCGGAAACCCTATACAGAGTTGTTATGAGTTGGAACTGACTCGATGGCACTTAACAACAACAACAACGACAACAGTCTTGATGGAAGGAACATTGGTGGTCCAGAAATAACATGCTGAACTGCTAAGCGAAATGTTAGCTGCTCAAACCCATCAGTTGCTCTGTGGGAGAAAGAGTAGCCGTCTGTTTCTGTCAAGGTTTACAGCCTTGGCAACCCTGTAGAGCAGTTCCACGCAATCTCATAGGGCTGCTATGAGTTGGAATCAACTTGACAGCAATGAGTTTGGGATTTATATCTTAACAGAAGCTGATCACCAGGCCTTTGCTTCCTCAGTACCGCTGGGTGGTTTTGAACCACCAGCCACCCTTTAGGTAAGCTGTTAAAAGCAAATGATTAGTATCACCTGGGGGATTCAAAGCCTTGATAATCCAGAGGAGTGGGCTAGCTGCCCTTCATGGAGAACAGGTGGAACAAATGAGAGTTGAGGTCACAGGAAGAGTGGTTTGGGAGGGAAATAAAGCTGACTTTCTGAGGCTGACCGAAAATTGGTTGGTGGGCTTTCTTGCTGCCCTGGATACCCCTCCCCTCCCACCTGTAGCTTTTGCTCTCTATTAGTGCCAAGGTAGATTAAGTTGCCAACTAACTTGTTTATGAGCCAAGATGAATCTACCGACAAACATTTTTCCCTATTAGATTCTCCATTGTCAGTTGGTGCCTTTTTATTTATGCGTTGCTTTTGAGTACTTGCTCTGTGTGTTAGTTCTGGCTGTTCCCTGGTTTGGTTTTGCAGATCACATGCGCACGGAGTTTTTGGAATCAACCAGGGCTGGGCAGGAAGTCTAGCTGTCATTTCTTTTGTTTTCCCTCAGTTTTTTCCTCTTGAAGGGCCTCTTTGTCACACACTGTGTGCTATAAAAGTTGCCTTGAGCATGAAGAACATGGAGGAAGGAGTTGGTTTCTGAGCAATTGCATAAACTCCAGCAGTGGTTGGAATCTCAAAACCCAAGATTTGAAGGAATATTGGCCTGGAGCTAACTAGTACGATGGAGTTGATTCTAGCTCATGTCAACACTACATGTGTCAGACTTGAACTCTGCTCGAGGTGGTTTTCCATGGCTGGTTTTTTTCAGAACGTAGATAACCAGGACTTTCCCCCCGAGGTACCTCTGGATGGACTAAACTGCCAACATTTTGATGAACAGTGAGGCCAAGCAATAAATGCTTCTCCTCACCACTGCTGGGGCACATGCGTGCTGGGTTTGAGTGGTGCTAATATCCCCAAACCATGTTTGATCATTGAGACCCTGTAAACCAAATTCTCCTTTTTCTTTCTTTTTTCAAAGGTTCAGGATTCTTAGAGCAAATGAGTCTGGCCATGTTAAGCAGCCTCTTCTTTATGAAAGGGGCGGGGGGCCCAACTCTAGGCTGTTAAAACCTGATGTTTTCTATTGCTGGGGGAAGGGTGTTTTTACTCAGAATGAAAGACGTGACAGGGGGCATTTTGAAGCTTTGTTTTGGTTATTGTCAGTTCTGCCAACAAGTAACATCTGTATTTATTTTCTAAACTCCCCCAATGGCTGATTTGCATCTGTTTAGTTCTCTGAGTAACATTTCATTTCCTGACTTTATAGGTCGCTATAAAATCCATTCGTAAGGACAAAATTAAGGACGAACAGGACATGGTTCACATCAGAAGAGAGATAGAGATCATGTCATCCCTCAACCATCCTCACATCATCACTATCTATGAAGGTCAGTGATTTTTTTTTCTCTCTCTCACCCGGTATCAGTTACCATTTCTCATACCATTGGGTTTGCCAAGACTTTTAAGTAATTGCCCTTCTGGGTAGGAGCCAAGTATTTTTCCTCCTGATGCAAAAATAGCCTGGTGTTATCTCTTATTGGGTTACCTTGAATGCAACCAGGCGCACGTACGTAATGCAGCTCACTTTGGCTATAAAATCTCTCTCATGAGCGCCTTGTTCTGTCTTACTAGGTCTTTGGCGGTTGCTAAGCAACCGGTCTCATTGAAAGCTGGCATGTGAGTTCTGGAAAAGTGAAGGTTTGTTGGCTGAACAAGTAACAGTGAAACAGTGACTTCATGTCCCTCAGGTGGCAGTGGTAGGATTTTGAGTTAGGGAGCAACTCCGCGCAGGTTCAGGACATACCAAGAGAGAGGGGCTTGTTGGTGCAGCAAATAGATTCCAAGTTGTAGTTGGTGTTTGTGGAAGGGTGGGGTGGGAATAGCTTATAAAATGCTTTCACTTTGGTCCTCCACAGAGAGAGAGAGAGAGAGGAAAGGGACACAGATGCTGGTAGTGGTGGTGGGGCGTGGGGGGCAGGATAGACCTCCCACAACCTTTTTTTTCTACATTTAATGTCTTGTAAAAATTTTTTTTTACTCACAAGCAGTATGTGTTTCTTGCAGGAATGATTAAGATATAAATATTAAAATTAAAAAAATAACTTCTGATCCGACTCTCTGAGGTGACATTCAGATTGATAACTATCTCTATTTTTATCTGTTTCTATGAGGTTTTGATCCAAAGCCGAGTCATACAGTTTATACATTTTTTTTTATAAAATAGATTATTTCCCCCCATTTATTTTATCATGCATTTCTTTCTATGTTAATAAATATTCCTCTTTAAAGACATTTTAAAAGGCTTTATATATAGTATTCGTTTATGGGCATACCTCAATTTATTGAATCTAATTCTCCTTGCCAAGCATGTAAGTTGTTTTACATTTCCAGTTTCTATAAACAGGGTGTTTGTTAGTGGCCTTTTTTGTATATCATGTTGATTTTTATTTCTGGTTACCCGTTTAACATAAATTCCAGATCTGGGATTTGCTGAGTCAGAGTGTTTCTACTGAGTATTTTTTTATTTATGATTGAGTCAGAAAAAAGGAACCTATTTTTCTAGGCTGATCATAAGGATTACCCGGTAAGGAAAAGAAGGCATCAAATGGTTATACCACCTGAAAATTTTTCTGAAGCTTCAAATTTTTCTTCATTTAGTTCCTTGCTTTTTGTGGTCATTCTTTTTCCCTGATGCTTCTATTTTTGGTTTCTTATCTACATGTGGATGCTGATATTATCTTCTATCTTATGCTTTCTAAAGCTCATTTTTGGAGGTATTTGGGGATAGGATTTATAAGAGAAACTTTACTCATACCACAAACATCTCTTGTGATGATTCTCAAAGTTTAGTCCCTGGGCCAGCATCATCAGCATCACATGAGGTGGTTAGAAATGTAAATTCCCAGACTTCTCCCTGGACCTGCTTAGTCAGAAGCTCTGGAGACAGGATCCAGCAGTGTTTGTTTCAACAACTTTGAGAACCACTGATCTGTTGAGTGTCTGCCTCCCGTAAAGCACTGGGTTAAATGTGGTTAGAAGTATAATGGTGATATGGCATGGATCCCATATACAAGAAGCAACAGTGGGCCTGATGATAGTAGTATTAAGACATATGTAAGCCTCTTGTGGAGTCCTTGGGTAGAGCAAACCATTAAAGTGCTTGGCTGCTAATCAAAAGTTTAGAGATTCAGGTCCAGCCAGAAGCACCTCAGAAGAAAGGTCTGGTGATCTGCTTCCCCCCAAAATCAACCAATGAAATTCCCATAGAGCACAGTTCTAACCTGACATACATGGAGTTGTTGTGAACTGGAACTGACTTGAAGGAACTGGTTTTTAATGATGATCATTAATAGTTTTTCACCTGGATTCTATAGATAAGGAGATTCATGGATGAGCTTCAGGGGTCTGTAATCCCCTGGAATGGTGTATAGCTAAGTTGTCTACATTGTTTAATAGAAGTCACAGGTGGCTATTTATATTTAAATTGTAAAAAGTTTAAAATTCAGTTTCTCCTTTGCACTGGCCGCATTTCAAGAGTTCAGTCGCCACGTGTAGCTGATGGCTTCAGAGGTGCAGTTACAGAACACCGCGTCCTTGTAGAACGTTCTGTAGACAATGCTATTGTGTGAGTGAAGGGAGTGTGTTCAGTTTTTCAGAGGAGGGGGCACATGGCTTTCATCAGACTCTCTAATCCCTGACCTCAATAGTTTAGAAATACCACTGCTATAGAGCACTTTGTGCATGGTACCACGCCGATAAAAAGGTATTGTTTTTATCCAGAAAACTCCCACGAACGTAATGTGGCCTTGTTCCTTTTCATTTCTTCGAGATCTCCAGTTTCTTCTCTGTTCCCTTTTCTGTCTCCCACGCAAGTTCTGTTTCTCCCACATCCACTAAATAACTGTGGAGGAGGGCTGCTCCCTCCCTCCCCTGGGGGTTTGGAGGGAGGTTTGGAGGAGGGCTCCAAGGTTCTATTCCAGCTCTCCTGCCTCTAATGGTGACCCCATGAACCCAGGGTCCCATGACTTTATCTGCCTTGTTGCTACAGGCCCCCAAGGCTGAGATGCCAGTGTCTGTCCATGCTGTCTGTAGAACCTTTTATCATTTCAGAGCTCTCTCACACCCAGTCTCACTTAACCCATATCGTAAACCTGTAGAATCAGCAGGCCCAGCGTCCCCATTTTTGCAGATGTGGAAGTGGAGGCCCTGGAAGTAACGTTGATGGCCTGGCCTGCAGGTTTTTCTCACTCCAGTTTGTTTTTTCTCAGTTAGGCCGCAGCCAGTATTTCTGTTCTTGTTTCAGTGCTGATCTCTGCAGCCGACTTCTCTGCTCCTCAGCATCCTCCTCTTCAGCTTGGAGTTTTCAAGGTGGACATTGTTGTCCTTGCCACAACCCTGGGGCACTGCTATAACATGTCATGGCAGCAATGGTGGCTCCTGAGTCTGTGAACTAATATGCTGGTTTCTCTGCCACTCAGAGTAAAAGGGAACCTTCTTTCTGGAACTTTCTTCTGGAACCTTCTTTCTGGTAATAGGCCAATCAAGAGCTGAGTCCAGAAATGCTTTAATTTCCGTAGTGAAAAATCAATGCGTAGGCATTTAAGTGGCTGTTTGGACATTAGCCGAAAGATAGATGCTATTAAAGAGCTTACTTTTTTTCTCTTCTTCAGCACAGACTTTTATGGTTTAAAGAACACACCCCAAATCCACTGACTCATAGCAATGTTATAGGATAGAACTTCCCCCAGAGGGTTTCTAAAACTCAACCTTTACGGAAATAGCTTGCCACATATTTTTCCAGTGGAGCAATGGCTGGGCCCCAAACATTGAGCTTTCAGTTAGCAGTGCTCAACCGCTGCGCCACCAGAATTCTGTAGAGAACACCCAGCAAAGTTAAATCTAGGCTTATCCTGTCATTTAGCAATCATACACCTAGGCATTTACACAAGTGAATTGAAAATCCGTCTATATAAATACACACACACGCACACACTTGTAGCAGCTTGATTCATAATTGGCCCAAATTGGAAGCAGCCAAGATTTCCTTCAATAGGTGACTGGACAGGCAGACTGTGGTACATCCATACAATGGAGCATTGTTGTTGTTGAGTGCCGTCGGTCGAGTTGTCTCCGACCCGTAGCAACCCTGTATAGGGTTTCCAAGGAGCAGCTGGTGAGCTTGAACTGCCAACCTTGCCATTTGAAGCGACTTTGAAGTCCAGCACCTTAACCCCCAGTGCCACACCGGGACTCCAATGGAGCGTTACTCTGTGGGAAAAGGGAATAAGCACAGGTGATGTAAGGGCAGTGGACCTATTCTGCGTTGTGCTGTAATGGTTACATGACGTGCACTTGTCAAAAATGCACAGGACGGGACAGCCCAAAGAGACCCTAATGTCCTTTCTACCACAATATCAGTTGTTGAGTCAACTCTGCCTCATGGCCGTCCCATGTGCACCAGTTAGAGTCAAACTCTGCTCCATTGAGTTTTCCATGGCTGGTTTTGTGAAAATATATCTCCACCCTTTCTATTGAAGCACCTCAGGGGGCACTCAAACCTCCAGCCTTTCAGCTGGCAGCTGAGTGCAGTAACCCTTTGTGCTATCAGGAACTCCAGTCCAAACTCTGGACTTCAGTTGATGATAATGTGTCAGACTCGGTTTATCAGTTGTAACAAATGCGCCACATGAATGCACAAAGTTAGTAAAAGGGTAAAACTATTTACAGGAGAAAGAGTGCATGGGAGCTGTGTCCTTCCTGCACAGTTTTCCTCTAAACCTAAAAGTGGTCTAAAAAATAGTCAATTTAAACACACACAGAATAGCAGAAGGTAGGACAAATATAGTGGCCACATGACGAGGCAACAATGGGCCTAACCCTGAGGATTCAGGAACTGTGGCCTTCTGTGAAGGTACCATCTTTGACTGTATCCAATGGGCCTAACCCTGAGGATTCAGGAACTGTGGCCTTCTGTGAAGGTACCATCTTTGACTGTATCCAATAGGCCCAACCCTGAGAATTCAGGAACTGTGGCCTTCTGTGAAGGTACCATCTTCAACTGTATCCAATAGGCCCAATCCTGAGAATTCAGGAACTGTGGCCTTCTGTGAAGGTACCATCTTCAACTGTATCCAATGGGCCCAATCTTGAGAATTCAGGAACTGTGGACTTCTGTAAAGGCAAGGCATCATCAAAACCCCAAAGTCAGTGCTGTTGGGTCAATTCCCATCATAGCAACCCTATATGCCACAGTAGAACTGCTGCTCCATTGGATTTTCGAGACTATAAATCTTTATAGGACCAGACAGCCTCATTTTCCTCCCACAAAGCAGTTGGTGGGTTCCAGTCGCCAACTTTTTGATTAGCAGCCCAGTGCTTACCACTCTGT